GTCTCCCCAGGTCGCCGATCGCGGTGCGATGGGAGCGTCCTGCGCGCCTGTGGTCGGTCCCCCCCGGCGGAGGGCGCCGACAGAGGGCGCTGGCTTTGGGGGGGAGGAGGAGGAGGAGGAGGAGGAGGAGGAGGATTAGAGGAGGAGGAAGGAGGAGGAGGAGAGAGAGGAGGAGGAGGGAGGAGGAGGAGAGGGGGGAGGGGTGAGTAGGAGGGGGAGGAGGGAGGAGGAGGAGGAGGAGGGGGGAGGGGAGGGAGGATGAGAGGAAGGGAGAGGTGGAGGCAGGATGAGGATAGGAGGAGTAGGAGGAGGAGCAGGAGGAGGAGGAGACGGTGGGTGGCCAGCACTCCCCTTGTTAGAGTCGGGCCGAGGTATAAGATCGAGGTCGGTTCGGGGAGGGTGCCCTGGTGTTCTTCGTGTTTGTTGGATGTCCTGGTGCATCCTCGGGGGGGGGGGTACCTTGGGATGTTCTGCTTGGTTTTGGCCGACGGGGGGTCTCATGTTCTTGATGGGTTTTTCTTCTGGCATGTGTCCGACTGTACGTTTGCGTTGGGGGTGCCCATATGCGGGTGTACAGGTCGAGGGTGCTGAGCCAATGGCGGTCCACCGCAATATGAACTCATTGTATCGTCTCCCCCCTTTGTCCGCCGGAAGAGACCCGCGAGGGCCGAGGCGGCAAGCTTGCGAAGTAGAGCAACACCTTCGGATAATGCCTCGTGGGTCTCTGTGGAAGTCGTGGAGACATCTTGGATTTCTGTTTGGGGATGCCTTGGGGCTCTCTGGGGCCTTCTCGGGTCTTTTGATGGTTGCCTTGGAACCGTCGTGGGGCTATCTTGAGCCGTCTTTGGGTCGTCTTGGGGGCCTCTTGGGTCGTCGTGGGGCGATCGTGGGGGCCTGTGGCCGTCGTGGGTCGTCAGAACTCCGAGCGAGACTGTGTGGAAACCCATGGAACACCAAAGAGGGATCAATGCCGCCTGGGGCCTCCTGGAGGTCCTCATGGGGCCCGGTGGGGGCCTCCTGGGGTCCTCCTGGGGCCGCCGGAGACCATCTTGATTGGGCCGTCTCTGGGCCGTCTTGGGGCAATAGCTGGGCCGTCTCGGAATCGTTTTGGGCTCTCTTGGGGCCATCTTGTCCGTCCGGGCGATCGTGGGCTTTCTTGGGGTCATCTTGGGCTCTCTTGTGGCTCCCCCAGCTGTTGGGGAAACCGCTGTATAGAATGACTTTTGGGCGGGCCTCGGGGCTCTCGCGGTACTCTGTTCTGGCCCTCTGTGGACCTTGGGGGGGCCTCCTCGGGTGGGCCCCCGGGGGGCCATCCTGGAGCTCTCTGCTGCTTTCTTTGGGGGCCCTTGGCCCGTCTAGCGCCTTTGGAGGCCGCCCTTGGGGACCCCTCTGTGGGGTCCATTTGGTAGTCGTAAGACCCCGTCGGGCCGTCTTGGGGCCCTCTTAGGGAGCTGTGGGGCAGTCTTGGGGTGATATGGTTCTCCTCTTGGACCGTTTTGGACGCTCTTACGGCCGCACCGGCAAGAATCCGACAGCAATTGAGCAACCTTAGGGATTTACGCAAATGGTTTTTGCTCATCGAGGTCCTCCTCGGAGATATTTGGACGCCTTCTGACGGTGTCTTGCGGGCCTCTTCGGATGTCTTGAAGCCATGTTGGGTCGTCTTGGGGCCAGCTTGGGTCCGCCTGGACGCGACTGGAGACTACATGGAGGCAGCTTTGGCCATCTCGGACCGACTTGATGCCGACCAGGGCCCTCTTGGAGACCCTCGGAGCAATCTTGAACGGAACCGCAGTTGAATTCCATATTTTCTGAGCCGGGTGGGGCCGAGAGCCAGCGTTCGGCGGCGAGCGAGGGGGGGAGTGAGAAGGAGAAGCCTTCCTCGGAAGGCGGCGGGACTTCTCAGAAGCCCTCTGGCCTTTGAGAGTTTTGCTGTGTCATCGGTGAAGTCTCAGACAACTTCTCGGAAGGCTGGAGAAGGCCTTCTCCTTCTCACGGCCCCCCAGGCTCGCCGCCGAAGTGCGAACCTCGGGAGGGCGGAGAATCATTTTGAAATCTGGCACGCCCAGCGCCCTTCTGGCAGGCTATGGCTGCGGCAGGTCCCGCAGCCTTCGGGTGAGCCAACCACCGCGCGTGGCCGCTGGACGAGGCGCCTCTCTTTGAGGTCCCCTGGGGCCCCGCGGAAGGCATCCTGGGGAGCCTCCTGGCACCGTTGTCTTCGGAGCCTCTGAAGGGGTCTCGGGCCAGTCCTGGGGCGGTTCCCTCGAGGAAGAGCAAACGCCACAAACGTATACCTTCGGCGCTCCGCGCGGACTTCTTGGATCGGCGCCTGGGCCCCCCTGGCGGCGCCTCCGGCGCCGCCCCTGGCGCGCTCCGCGCCGCCAGGGAGGGGGGGGTCCAGTGCGGATCCAAGAACTCCACGCGGAGTGCCAAACGTTTCTGTTTGTGGCCTCTCTCCTCCTCCTTCCGGCAGGGGTCCCTCGGGCCAGTCTTGGAGCGGGCCCAGTCGACGTGTGAGCCTCTGCCGCCCCTGCGGCAGGGCCCCGGGAAGCACCGCCCCAGCAGAAAGAAGCCGCCCCGGAGACGCCACATGTCAGGAGGGAGAGACACGCACAGACGCGGCGCTTCCCCAGAGGGTATGGGAACATGTGGCACGTGGGGGGGGGGAGACGAGAACCCGAGAGAGTATGGCGAGATATGGGGAATCCTTTTCCTTGTGTGCATTTCTTTGTGTGTCCCAGGGCCCCTTCCATCTGCTCATAGGCGACCGCAGGAGACGACGGCCGCGGCGCCGGGGCCGCCAGAGGCCGGGCGCCGCGCCGCCGTGGCCCCCCCTCCTGTTGGTGGCGTCCGCGGGGGGGGGGGGGCGTCGGAGGCGAGGCCGGCCTGCCCTCGCTCGGCCCGCGGGGGCCGTCCCGCGGGGGGGGGGGCGTCGGAGGCGAGGCCGGCCGGCCTCTGCTCGGCCCGCGGGGCTGTCCCGCGGGGGGGCGTCGGAGGAGGGGCCGGCCTGCCTCTGCTCGGCCCGCGAGGCCGTCCAGCTGCAGGGGGGGGGTAGTGCAAGAGTTGTGGACGCCCGAAATGGGCACGGGAAGAATGGGCACGATGCCCCACAGCAGTTCTTGTTCGTTCTGAACAGGACTCGCTGTCCGCGCCGCCGCGGCCTGTGTCCATTCGAGACAGGAGGCCGCCCGCCCAACAGCGGCCGCTGTTGGTTTGGGACAACATTTGCTGTTGGGCATTGTACCCATTCTTTCCGTACCCATTTCGGGTGTCCAAACAAGAGGTCTGGTGCGCTCGATCTGTGGGCTGCAGCTCAGAGGAGGAAAATGGTATACCCACACCGCTACTCTTCCCTCGTTCTCCCTCTTTCTGGGTCTCCTGGGAGGCCCTCGTCGCCACTGCTGGATTCGCCTCGAAATTCTGGTCAGAACGCACCCCGGGAGAGGTCCGGGGAGTAGCGGTATCGGTACCTTTTGCTTTCCCTAGCACTTGGGAGTGGTGCAACAGATTTGGTCCAGCTGCAGTTGGGAGTGGTCCAGGAGGCCTGTTGCAATCGGCTTGTGGGCTGCAGGAGATCAGGGGCGTGCCATGCCTTCCGGGGCGCAGATGTGTTGCTGGATCTTCGCGTGCAGTGCGTTCGTTGAAACACACTGCAATACAGTTCTCCAGCGCAATACATTTGCAACACAACTGCCTAAATCTATTGCACCACCCCCTTTTTAGCTGCACCCCCTTTTGGGTCACCCAAACTGCCAGCAGATGCCCCACAATCAGGAAGGGGACACACACACACACACACACATACGCACGCACGCACGCACGCACGCACGCACGCACGCACACATAAACAACACACAACACACGACACACAACACACACAACACACACAACACACAACACACAACACACAACGCACAACGCACACAACACAACACACAACGCACACAACACACAAACCACACACCACACACAACAGACACACACACACAACAGACACACACGCACGCACGCACGCACGCACACAACACAACACAACACCACACCACACAACCCAACCCAACCCAACCCAACCCAACCCAACCCAACACAACACAACACAACACAACACAACACAACACAACACAACACAACACAACACAACACAACACAACACAACACAACACAACACACACACACAACACACAACACACAACACACACAACACACAACACACAACACACAACACACAACACACAGCTCACAACACACAATGCACACACACAACACACAAACACACACACACACACGCACGCACGCACACACGAACACATAGACACACACACCTCTCACACACACACACCTCTCACACACACACACACACACACACGCGCACTTTTTGTGTCGGCGGCTGGGCAGACGGTGACTGCTCCCGCGGCTGGGCAACAGGGGACACGCTGTATGCAAATGAAAGCGCACGCACACAGACTCAAAGAATCGTCGATCGCCAGGAGATAAAAGGGAAGTATAGGAAGTGGGAGGGGGAGACGGGTCTCCAGAGATCAGGTAAAGGGTAGGGAATTTGGGGAACTGTGTCTGTGTGGTTGTGTGTCCCTGGGCTCCTCTGCACAGGAGCTTGCGATTCCCCGATGGCCCTGGGGGCCCGCCGCACAGCAGCCCTGGGGCGACTCGGGAAGCCCGCAGCTCGACGACGGCCGTGCCCCCTGCTGTTCTCGTCGCGACATTTTTCCCACCGCTTCGAGTACGTTCCAGAAGTGGCGAAGCGTCCTGGCTTGCCAATAAGGCCCACCAAATAATGTTCTAATGACCTGATGTGGTTTGCATGGCATGTTGGAACATTTCTGGCCGAGGCTGTCTTGTTTTAACACGTCGGCTGTATGTTCTAATAACATGTTGCCTTCGAGCTTTTTTTGGTTATGAGACCATGTCGTGGTAGGCCTATAGGAATGCCAGGACCGTCGGCCTCTGTTCAACACGTGCCCATTCCGCCGCCGGGCCAGCAGGACGAGCAGTGGCGGCGTGCCTGCGCCGGCATGGTCGTCATCGCGGCCAACGCGGGCGGCACCTGGAGCCCCGTCCAGGGCCCAGCCCGCGTGGGGGGAGGGGGCTCAGGGGTGTCCAGGGCTGGGAGGGGGAGGAGGCGGATCGAGGATCGAGGATCGAGGATCTGAGAGGAGGAGAGCAACAGAGGAGGAGGAGAAGGAAAAGGAAGAGGAGGAGGAGGAGGAGGAGGCGGAGAACCGAGTAGGAGGGAAACCTCGGGATAGTCCTGGGCCTTGCCCGCGACAGGGGGAGGTAAGGGGGCGTTGTCGATGTCCTCCTCCTTCCTCCTCCTCCTCCTCCTCATTCTCCTCCTCCTCCTCCTCCTCCTCCTCCTCCTCTTGCTGCTCCTCCTCATCTTCCTCCTCCTCCTCCTCCTCCTCGTCCTCCTCCTCCTCCTACCTCCTCCTCCTCCTCCTCTCACTCTCCCTCCTCCTCCTCCTCCTCCTCCTCCTCCCCTCCTCCTCCCTCCTCACTCCTCCTCCTCCTCCTCCTCCTCCCCTCCTCCTCCTCCTCCTCCTCTCCTGCTCCTCCTCCTCTCCTCCTCCTCCTCCTCCTCATCCTCGTCCTCGTCTCATCCTCATCCTGATCCTCATCCTCATCATCATCGTCATCCTCATCCTCATCCTCATCCTCATCCTCATCCTCCCTCCTCCTCCTCCTCCTCCTCCTCCTCCTCCTCGTTCCTCCTCCTCCTCCTCCTCCTCCTCCCCTCTCCTCCTCGTCTCCTCCTCTTCTCCCCTCCATCTCCTCCTCTCTCTCCTCCTCATTCTCCTCCTCCTCCTCCTCCTCCCGTCCTCCTCCTCCTCCTCTCCTCCTCTCCTGCCTCCTCCCCCTCCTCCTCCTCCTCCTTCTACTCCTCCCCCCTTCCTCTCCTCCTCCTCCTCCTCCTCGTCCTCCCCTTCTCCTCCGTCCCCTCCCCTCACTCTCCCCTCCTCCTCCTCCTCCTCCTCCTCCTCCTTTTCCTTCTATCCCCTTCCTCCGCGCCTCCTCCTCCTCCTCCTCGTCCTCCTCCTCCTCGTCCTCCTCCTCCTGCCTCCTCCCTCCTCCTTCTCCTCCTTCTCCTCCTCCTCCTCCTCCTCCTCCTCCTCCTCCTCCTCCTCCCCCAGACCCCCTCGGTTCATACAAAAATCGCGACCGGATGTTTTTTTTACAATTTCCACCCTCCAGGGGGCCTATTTTGGGCCTCCGGACACCGTCGAAGACCACTCCTGATGCAGAACTGGTCCCTGGGAATGGGTGGATACCTCATGGGGGTCGACGCGATGGGGAAGTCATGACGTCGGGGGTCTGGGCTGGCCCCCGCTCCCATCCTCCGCCCCCCTCCGCTCAGGACGGCTGGCCCGCGAGCCGGCGCCAGGATGTCCCTGCAGCCTGCTGGCCCCCCTCCCCCGACTCCCCTCCCCCCTGGCCAGTGCCGCGGTCGCGCCGCCCTGGCCGGCGGCCCCGCGCCCGTACTGGGCGGTGGGTTCCGCAGAGGACGATGCGCGCGCTCGCGGAGCTCGGCCGCCATCGGGGAGGCCGGCAGAGGCAGTTCGGCTGGGCGGCCGCGCTGGCGGCGGGCCCTCCGCGTGCAGGCCACCGGTCGCCCAGGCTTCCGAGGCGGCAGGCGGGGAGTGCCCGAGGTCTCGCTCGGAGGCGCTAGTTGGCGGCAGGCAGAGGGGGGGTAGGGGGAGGGGGGAAGGCTTCTTAGAAGCACCCCTGCTTCTTAGAAGATGCGGGCCTTCTCTGTAGATGTAAGGCCGGCGCCTTCTAAGAGACAGCCTCCTTCTAGGAAGCCTTCCCCCCTCCGCCTACCCCCTTCTGCTCGCCGCCAAACAGGGCTCCCACTGCGAGGGGGTGCCAGATCGGCGTCGTACTGGCACATGGATGCCGCGAGTGCGTCGCCCCCCCCCCGGTGTAGGGGCGGCGCACGCGCCGAGGAAGCTCACGGCAGATGCTCCGTGTCTTGGGCGCTGTCTGGCCATGCCGCTCGGGGCACGATGCGCTACGAGTTGGCTGTGTTGTGTGAGCGGGTCGGGCGCGCGCCTCCGCGGAGTGCGCGCAGTATTGGTATGGCCCTCTGCGCCCCAGCAGGTGCGGGTGGTGGAGCGGGGCGCGACGGTGTGCCCAATCCCGAGGCCGTCCTCGAGCAGCCTCCTCCGACCCAGCACCTCTCTTTGTCGCGGGCTCGGCGGCCGCGTCAGCCGGTAGAAGTAGCAGTGCTGCTGCAAAGCTCAAACTGTAAGCACTGGGTGGCAAGGAGGGGGCGAGCGATGGCCACGGAGAAGGAGGACAGGATGGCGGCAACTCAAACCATGTAAGCCGTGCCTCCCACGCGTTGCCTACTTCTTTTCCCATGCCAGCGCTCTCGGCAGCCGCATCTTTTCCCAAGGCGCTCTCGCAAGGTTGCCGAAGCCTCTTCCCCCATGTCCTCCCCATGCGTTTCCCCCAGCCTTCGGGAGAGCCAGCACCCTTGGCAGGCCCTCGTTCTTCCCCTTGGAATGTAGCACATGCTATTGCTCAGCCTCCTTTTCCACCGCAGCCTCCTCGGTAGCCGCTTTAGGACCGCGTCTTTCGAAGGAGTTGGAGTACGCACGGGGTTCCCCAATTCCTGTGATAGCACCTGCACCAGCATGGTTTGCAGGAAAACTTGCAGCAGCCTCTCATGCCTCCGCCTCTGTCTGGGTTGGGGATTTGCTTGCGGGCAGCTTTCGGAACAGCGTAGGGCCGCGCACGCATTCAAAGACTTTCGCGAGGGACTGCATCTCTGTTAGGTCGATGGCACGCTGCTCAGTACAGCTCATTTCCATCGCTCGCGTTTCCCAACAGGTTTTGGATTCACGCGTGTCTTTCCCAGAACAGTTTCACAGCAGGCCGAACTTCATAGTTTGCGCAGTGTATCGCCCTCGCCCTCCAGTACACCGGCCTTCCTCCAGGCCGTGCGCTCTCTGCTCCCGCCTCCTGGGCGTTCACGGGCATGCTGGCTCGCGTGCTCGCACCTCTAACGCTCGCTGCAGGAGTTTGCCCGAGGACGGTCTGTGGCGCCGACCCGGCGGGAGAGGACACCCTCACGGGTCCCTGCTACCCAAGAGGCAGTTCGGTTGGAATGGTTTCCCCCCTCCGCCTCCTCCTCCTCCTCCTCCTCCTCGCCCTCCCTTTTCATCCTCTAAATCGTACCTGTGAGCTTGATTATTTAGGGCTCTCTCATAGATGTTGCACCCTGCATGGCGACACGTGCTCCGAAGCGGGAACCAGAGGCCCGAGGTAGTTTGTTAGAGTACTGGCGTCTTTATTTGAACTATGTTCTCAGTAGTTCAGGGTGTGGTGTAATGCATTTTCCGTCATACCACTTGTGTGCCTTCCTCTGTGTTCGTCGTCATTACTACTTCACCTTCCGCGTGTAACCGACTGTGATTAGTTTACGCCATTAGTTCACCCTGTGCTGGGCTGTCGTTACGGCTAAGTCAGCACCAGAGCCAGTCAACAACACACCCTCGAAGCTGGAGCCATGCCGCAGGCCTCGTCGCCAACATGGAAGTGTTTACGTCGTGCTGCTCTATTGTTGTGTGGCTGCTTGTTCTCTCTGTCGTTGTTTGATGCCGTTTGTCCTCGCTGTGGAGGTAGTGCGTAGTGGTGCTAGAGCCGCTCCCTTTGGCCCCTGCTTCGGCATAGTGCGTGATGACATGTTTGTTTCTGGATCTCGTTAGCGTTTGAAGTTAGAGTTCTCTCCGTGCCTTAGCAGCACGGATCTGCCAGCAGGGGTGTCTGCAGTGTAGAGGCCAATCCGTCCCCCTAGCGTCCCTTTTGCACGGCGGCTCCCTCGAGATCATCAGTGCAAGACGGGTGATCTCTCCATTGAGTTGGTCTTATACCTGGTCGTTGCTTCAAGCGCACACTTTCGAACACACGGGCGCACACAGTGGTAAACCACGATGTGTTGAGATATTGTTTTCACACTCGGACCCTCCAGCATGCTGGATCATCACCTGTGCACCCATATTCGGTTGAGTCGTCAATCGGCGAGAGTATAACTTCCCTCGATTATTCTTGAGGGCGATCGGCCATCGGCTGCGTTATCGTTTGGGTTCAAGGTGGCGCGTTGGACCCGCTCGAGCCCTCCCGGGCGATAGACCCCGGATTCCTTGTGGTCCCCCCCGCAAGGCGCAAGGCGCAGGGGAGGCAAAGAGGCCTTCGCGCCTGAAGTGCTGTGGGGTGTCCGGTGGCCAAGCCGCGGGTGCTCTTCGATGGGGGGCAGAGCCGAGCGCCTTCCCCTCCAGAGAGCGGCATGGCCAAGCTGCTGGCGCTCCTCGGGGGAGGAGGGCCGGGGGCCTCCCCGCCTCAGGGGGAATCGGGAGGAGGAGGAGGAGGAGGAGGAGGAGGAGAAGGACGACGACGACGACGACGACGACGACGACGACGACGACGACGACGACGACGACGACGACGACGACGACGACGACGACGACGACGGAGGAGAGAGAGAGGAGGGAGGGACCGAGGTCTTCGACGTCAGCACGGTGCTGGAACCCACGACGGGGATCCTGTGGCAGAGGTCGCCCTCCCTCCCCCGTCGGCCTGCCCTTGGCACACTGTCGCAGCATCTTAGTCCCCATCGCCATCCTCGGCTCTTCCCCACCCCCTCTCCCCGTCCCTCCCTCTCTTCCTCCCCCCCTCCCTCTCTCTCCCCCGCTCCCTACTCCAACCTGCCCTCGTCCTCCTCCCCCTCCCCTCCTCTCTCCTGCGGGCCCTGGGGCGCGGGCGCGTGTCGCGCGTGTGCCCGCCTGCGCGCACGGGCAGCCCAGCTTGATGGGCACCGAGTGGCATGCCGCGAGGGACGGAGGAGGCCGAGGGCCGTCGACGCGGGGCGCTTCGAGGATCGAGGAGGAGGGCCGAGGAGGGTCGAGGAGGAGGAGGAGGAGGAGGAGGAGGAGGAGGAGGAGGAGGAGGAGGAGGAGGAGGAGGGGGAGGGAGGAGGAGGGAGGAGGAGGAGGAGGGGAGGAGGAGGAGGAGGAGGAGGAGGAGAGGAGGAGGAGAGGAGGAGAGGTAGCCAGGGGCGGCGCTCGGGGGGTCGGTGCCTCGCACTCGGGGGGTGCGCTGGCACGCGATCAACGAGCGCGCGGGCTGTGGCCCCCCCTCCCCCTCCGGAGAAGGAGGAGGAGGACCGGAGTGGCGACGGCAGTGGCTGCAGCAGGAACGGGCGGACGAGGGAGCGGAGAGGCATGGAGAGTATGCCGAGGGATAGGGTGTGCGAGCAGAGGGAGGAGCGGATGAGGAGGAAGAGGAGGACCAGAGTAAGCCCACACCAGCGATGCTGCAATACACCTTCCCGTCCCGAGTCCCCTCCTCGCTGTCAGGGGCAACGACAAGGGGATAGGCATAGGGATGGCTGCATTGACCCTCAATCGCCCGTTGATCGCTGGTAGGGGCCCAAAAGCCCCAACCTGCCCAGGGAAGTGCGGATTCACGATCGGAGGCCCATCGCCGATCTATTGTCGATGCATCGCCGATTCCAAGTCGATGTTTCTCCCCTATGCCAGCCCCCCCCCTTCGATGCCCCCACGCAAGTCCTCGACCTTCTTTTTGATTTCGTGAAGCGCGCCCCTTGAATGACCAGCCCACTATGGGCCTATGGTCCTGTCATTATGGTGAGAACCCAGTCTTGAAAAAAAGGAGTGCCTTGTTTCCATCAACCGCGTAGCCAGGATTACGAACAGGCCTGGTCATAAAGTTCAACGATGTGCCCATCGGAACCTACATTTGCTGGACGACCGCCCCCCCCATCCGTCGGACTGTTGCGCAAGTTTTCGCCTATGGTCGGTCATGTGTTTCAAAGAAGCTTTAACCGACAACCCCTTTTTTCAAGGAGCCGCCCTCTTGTGCAGCCGCTACATGTCTGTTGAACGCGTAGTTTTGAAATTTGAGGAAGTCTCACGCGAGAGCCCCTTTTGAGCAGGCGCCATCCTCTATCCTTGTAACGACCGCAAGCTTTCAAAACGACTGTGTGCGGCGCTGGCGCGAAAACTCCATTCTGTGAACGAGCCGCCCTCCATCCTTGTAACGCATGCAGGTTTGTAAAACGATCGAGCGCGGCGCTAAGGCGAGACATTTTCCCCACATCCTAAGTGGGGTTTTCGTTTTCTCTGGACACCCCGCGCAGTCCTCCCTCACCCCCTCTGTCCCTCGTCATCACTCACCCTCACTCACTCCTTCACTCACTCATCATCACCATCATCTTCATCAATCACACACTCACTTACACTCACACTCACTCAATCACACACTCACACACCCACTTCCCAGTGCCACCACAATCATCATCACTCACTCATTCACTCACTCACCATCAGCATTTACTCACTCATCATTTCGTCATCACTCACCCCCTGGGCATGACAATGGAGGATGTCTCAGGCGGGAGCCTCGTCTGTGAGTGAACTGCGAGGAAGTCTCAGGCGGGGGCTCCTCCTCATGGGGCCCGCACTGCATGTTCGAATCCGAGGCGGGTCATCGGCATCCTGTAACTGTCGTCACTTTCGGGCTCCTCAGGCCTTAACATGGAGGAAGTCTTCGGCGGGAGCTTCGTCTGTGAGCGAATTGCCAGGAAGTCTCAGGCGGGAGCCCCCTCCCTAAGGGGCCCGCGCTTCATGTTCGATTCCGAGGCGGGTCACCAGCATCCTGTCACCTCGGGCCTGAATAAGGAGGAAGTATCAGGCGGGAACCTCGTCTGTGAGTGAACTGCGAGGAAATCTCAGGCGGGAGCTCAGTTGCTATGGGGCCCGCGCTTCACGTTCGAATCCGAGGCGGGTCATCGGCATCCTGCACCTGTCGAAAGTTTTGGGGTCCTCAGGCTTGAATATGGAGGAAGTGTCAGGCGGGAGTCTCGTCTGTGAGTGAACTGCGAGGAAGTCTCAGGCGGGAGCCCTTTCCGTAAGGAAACCGCGTTGCATGTTCGAATCCGAGGCGGGTCACCAGCATCCTGTTATTGTCTTAAAGTTTGGGAACTTCAGATTTGAATATGAAGGGAACATCAGGCGGCAGCCTCGTCTGTGAGTGAATTGTGAGGAAGTCTCAGGCGGGAGCTCCCTCCCTAAGGGGCCCGCATTTCATATTCGAATCCGAGGCGGGTCATCGGCATCCTGTAACTGCCGTAAATTTTGGCCTCCTCAGGCTTGAATCTGGAGAAAGTATCAGGCGGGAGCGCTGTCAGTGAGTGAACTGCGAGGAAGTCTCGTGCTGGAGCTCCCTTTCTAAGGGACCCGCACTTCATGTTCGAATCCGAAGCGGATCATCGGCATCCTGTAAGTGTCGTCACTTTTGGGTTCCTCAGGCTTGAAAATGGAGGAAGTATTCGGCGGGAGCCTCGTCAGTGAGTGAATTGTGAGGAAGTCTCAGGCGGGAGCCCCCTCCCTGAGGGGCCCGCATGTTCAAGTCTGAGGCTGGTCATTGGAATCTTGTAACTGCCGAAAGTTTTGGGCTCCTCGGGCCTGAATGTGGAGGAAGTATCAGGCGGGAACCTCGTCTGTGAGTGAATTGCGAGGAATTCTCAGGCGGGAGCTCCCTCGTCGTCATCGTCGTTGTCGATGTCAGACGCTGCGCAAGGGCGTCACCATCGACTGCGCGAGGGACGAGGACGCTGGCCGCACGGACATGTCGGACGAGCAGTGGTGGCTGCACCTCTACGTCATGTTCTCCCGCGCCACGCGCATGCGGAACATGCTGTTCCTGCGGCCGCCTCGCGCGAGTTTCTGGGGCGCGGGCCGCCGGCGTCCTTGCGGGAGGCGCCCAAGAAGCTCGAGGAGAAAACGAAGACCTCGAGGTATGAGGCCGAGCAGCTTGCCGCGGAGTTTGGCTTCGTGCTGTCTCCCGCATGAGTGCCGCGGCGCGCAGCTAGAGGCCCGCGGGGTTGTCCCAACGGTTTGGCCCGCGGGGCTGTCCCGATGGCGTGCCCCCGCGCCCCAGCGGCTCGCGGGGTTGTCCCAGAGGCGTGGCCCGCGGGGTTGTCCCAAGGGCTTCGCGAACCAGCCGTCGGCGAATGCGCGCGCTGGCCGAGGCGGCGACGGCGCCGAGGGAAATCGATTGGCTTGCCCGGGCCAAGGGGAAGGGGGGGGCACATGGAGAAGACGCAGGGGAAGGATAACGACGGGGAAGGGATTGGGAGAGGGCGACGATGATGACGAGGTGGAGAAGGAGGAGGCGGATAGAAGAAGGAGGAGGACAATGAATAGAAGGAGGAGGAGGAGGAGGAGGAGGAGAAGGAGGAGAGGGCAGTGCAGAGGGCGAGAGGAGGGGTGTGTCTGCCAGGGCGAGGAAGAAAGGGCTAAGGGCAAGCTGAACATATTATCATGCGGGGTCCTTCCGTCGGGGTAATTGCAAATCACCCGCCCGCCATATTTGCGAATGTTGGCGGGAGTCCCATTGTGAAAGCGGCCTGTGTTCGATCCTTGTCACTGCTGCGAATTTCAAGTGTCAAAACTGCAAGTGGGCAGGAAATTCCAGGCGGCCCGCCAGGCAGCCCGACCAAAATGTCTTGGGGCGCGGCAGGAAGCAGTTACTTATAAAAGGGGAAAGTATGAAGGAAACTCGAGGGTCGATGGGGTCGATCGAGGATCGATGCTCGAAGTTATCTAGCGGTTTTAGCCATTGTCGGATCTCTACGTCTTTCCGCGAGGACCCGCTCCTCCCGAGATGTCAGGGGCCCAGATTTGGAAAAGGTCCTGGTGGATTTGTTTTGTCGTTTTCAGCGTCCAATGCCCGTTTGCAAGTTTTGGGGCCATTCGAAAGGAGGGACCCATTCGTCGGGGAGGGGATGGCCACGGCGTGTGTAGGCATATAGGTAACAAAAGGAACAGGCACAGGCCGGACGAACATGTGAGTTCAGGGAACCAACGCCGGGAATTGAACAGAGACGGGGGTAACTACAGTCATAAGTTTTTCGACATGAGCCCGCGGACGTAGGACAGGGTTTCCCAGAGGAGCTCAGGGATTGGTTCCCCCCCCCAGCAAGGAACGATCCTGGGTCCCTGACCCTTTTTTGAAAACCCTATCCCAGGCCCGTGAGTTCGCCCTCGAACGCATTCCGATCCTATGAATCAGTTGGACACTTCTCCAAAATGACGTCCTGGGGGTCATCGTTGAAGCCCTATCCCGAGCCCACGGGCTCCTCTAATAATCTCCAGCCATTGTCGTCGGGCACCTGCCGAAAACCACATGTGTATTAAAATGCTAGTCCTTGGGTTTATTGTATCAAGCAAGGTATGTCATACGTCCTTGTGCCCCTGCCAGGAACCCTACTTCAAAATCACGGACTCCTTTCGGCGACCCTATATTACGTCTTGGGGGAGACGTCGAACACGCTACTATAAGTTCGTGGGCCCTGCGGAACACTTACCCTAAGCCGTTGGACTCCGCCCAGACATTACATCCTAAGTCCGTGGGTTTCTCTAGAATGCCCGATCGTACGTACTTGGGCCCCCTGTCGCAACCATTATCAGGAGCCGCGAAACCCTAGCCCAAGTCCTAGGCCCCCCCGTCAGGAACTCCTACCATACATCTTCGGGCTTTTGTCGAGCATGATATCCTAAGTCCTTGGATTCATTTCGAGATCCTTGTCCTGAGGCATGCGGTTTGTCACAGAATCCGTCTTTGAAGTCTGTGGGCCCTTCTAGATATCCGAATCTATCTTCCTCTGGATTCGGTCGTGCTCCTTCGCAGAAACCCAATGATACGTCTTACGGCCCCTCACGGAAGCCCTATTCTCAATCCGTGGGCCCCTCAGGAAATCCAATCGTACGTCTTCGAGCTTATTTCGAACTCTTTTATCATGTCTCCGACTTCCTGTAGGACCCCTGTCAAACGCCATGGGGCTCTTCCCACGAAGCCAATCCAACGTCCGTGGGTCATGTCAGGAACCCTGCATTGTGTCTTCTGGCGATTCTCGAAAAGCGTAACTGAAGTGTCCCATTCTTTTCAGAAGCCTTGATGTTCTAAGTCCTGGTGTCCCTCTTGGTAGCCCTATCCCAAGCCCGTTGGGCCCTCTAGGCAACCATATCCTACGTCGGGCTCCAAACGGAAAACCGTATCTGAATAACCTGCGCTACCGGCGACAACCATATCCAAAGTCCTGGGGTTTCTCACGGAAGCCCTACCCAACGTCTGTGGGCCCTTCAAGAAAACCTTGTCCCACGGGCCCCTTTCGAAAACTGTGCCTGAATCCATCGGCCTGGTGCCGAACATCTTATCATAAGTCCTTGGAGGCATTTCGGAACCCTGGGGCCCTTTTCGGGCATCCTCGGGCCTTGGTCGCACATCTTTCTCAAGTCAGTGGGCTCCTTTAAGGGGTCGTGTATTACGCCCTTGGGCCCTGTTGAAACATCAAGCCCTATTTTACGCGGATGCCCCACAATCTCGCGCCCAAGCAGAAAACGAGGGGGGGGAAGGGAAAGCACAAACATTGCATGTGCCTGACTGCGAGCGACCGTTAAATCAACGCACCTGCAAAGCAACGAAATAAATGCATACCTTTGACTGCAAATTGTCATTCCCAGGAAGGCCGCGCCCGGAAAAGAAGTGATCAACCACGAACTGCATGTGCCCGACGGGAGTGGCCGATACAAGAGATGTTTGCCACGCCGTCCGGACATACAAATCTCAAGGGGTCCGGTGGCACCGCCCTGCGCATGAGAACTGGGTCCCTTCAAGCAGTGGTACACAGTATTGCTTTGCCTTGCACATGGGCTCACCGATGAAGGTTCTACGAACTTTTCGTGTTTTGCACGGAGTGTTCCCAGAGCAGTTCGAACTAAGATTGCCTTGTTTCCGTCCATCGGCTTTCTGTTCTCTAAGAGCATTGTTTTGTCATTGGGGCAGTCTCTTGTTCCAAGATCGCCCTTGCGCTCTACGAGCATTTCTGTGGTTTGCCCACCAGCACGTGCCGGGAAGGTCGGTCCCGGCTCACTGTCTGGGCCCGCGGACAGAGGCAAACCAGGACGACCAGCGAAGGCCTCGGGAGGGCCGCCCCCTCGAGGCCGGAGGCCCGTGAGGCCAGCAGGCCCCCCCGGAGGGCCGTGCGGAGTCGCAGGCTCTAGGTCGGGCTGGGCGCAAGGGGGGGATCGGGAAGGGGGGGGGGGTACGAAATCTGCTGCATGCAGCTGGTTTCGGCCCCGCCGCCGGGCCCATTCCTCGATGCACGGGCGCCTCTGGCGCGGGGAGGCGCCGGGAAAAACAGCTACGTGCGCTGATTCTCACCCCCCCCCCTCTGCTATCCCCCCCCTTCGCCCGGCCCGACTAGGGCGGCTCCGCGCTGGCGGGGGGCTCTGCGGTCGCAGGCGCTGCCTCCCTCGCCAGGGGGGGGGGGGCGGGCCCCGAGGGAGGCGGGCCCCGAGCCGCGTCGCCGCTTTCGGGCTCTCGCGGGGCCCTTCGCGGGCCCCGGGGTGGCAGAGAAGGACGGGGGAGGGATCCTGGGGGAGGCCCCGGGGGTCCAGGATTAAGTCGTGCCTGTCCCCCTACAGGGGGATTTTCGACGAAAAATGAAAAGTACCCCCAAAATCGTCAAAAAATACTCCAAAAATAGTCTGGGGATTATGTTTTTTGCTTTTTGGGAATACTTTTGCGGTATTTTTATCTTTTGTTCGAAATCCTCCTGTAGGGGGACACGCCCGACATAAGTCCAGGACCCATTTCCCTCAGGACCCGTTTCCCCGGAGAGAGGTTACCGGCGGCCTGCACAAGCGGGGTGGCGCGGGGGGGGGGGGCTGCCGCCTAAGAAGGCTGCGCGCTTCTTAGAAGGCATGGGCCTTCCTGTAAGAGGGCCCGGAGGCTTCCAAGACGGCTCCGGCTTCTCAGGAGCCGGGAGGGCTCTGAGAAGGCGGATCGCGGGGCCGCCGCCCCATCGGTCGGTCGGGATCGGGGCCAGCATCCCCGACTGGCGAGAGGCGTCGTGAGGCACGGCCTCACACCCGTCTCGGGTGCCACTCATCAGGGCTTCCGGCAATCACCGAGCGCTTTCCGCTACTCGCAAAGTGCCTACTCGCGATCGCATGGAAAGGACACGTCTTTCTACATGCAGCGGATCGCAAATCCTACGCGGGGATTGCAGGCCATTGGCGAGCAGTTACTCTGCGAGTAGTGGAACGCGCTTGTCTGGACAAGCCTGCGCCCGATGCACCCCGTCTCGCCGGTCAGCAGGGTACCTCCTTCGCGGTTGGGCGGCGTTTGGTGAAGAGCCTTACCTGCCCGCCCGCACATGCACAGGCATCTGGGCGGGAGGCTCCGGGAAGGCTGGCTCAGCGACTGCTAGTCGTCGTCGTCGCCGTCGTCGTCGTCGCCGTCGTTGTGGTCGTCGTCGTCGTCGCCGCTGGTTGTGTCGGAAGGCTGGCTCAGGCTTCTGAGGAAAGTCTGCGGCCACTACTCCCCAGGACTTCATCCAAGACCTCCAACGTCCCGAACAAGTGTCAGGGGCGGCCTTACCGACCCCTAGCAAACCATCCCCTTCCGTGACGTCCCCCTCGCCTCGCCCCAAGACGCACCTATGCGGCCGGAGGGGAGCTCGGAAGGCGAGAATGACGTCACGGAAGGGGATGGTTTGCCAGGGCTCGGTGAGGCCGCGCCCGAAAATGAAGGCAGAGCTTGCTTCGCCGCCTTCGGCGTCCACGGGCGTTGGTAGGGGGCCACATGCGAAGCCTACCCCTACCCCCCAGGATTTTTGAGGGGGAGGGTGGGGTTCACTTCGCTCGGGAGCTCCCGAGCGAAGTGAACCCCCCCACCCCTCAGAAGTCGTGGGGGGTAGGGGGAAGGGTTCGCATGTGGCCCCCTTGTTTTCGGGTTCTCGGGGCCCTCCGCGGGCCCCGGGGTGGCAGAGAAGGACGGGGGAGGGATCCCGGGGGAGGCCCCGGGGGTCCAGGATTAAGTCGGGCCTGTCCCCCAACAGGGGGATTTTCGACGAAAAATGAAAAGATACCCCAACAATAGTCAAAACAATACTCCAAAAATAGTCAGGGGATTATTTTGTGAGTATTTTTTCTTTTTTTTTTAAACCTTTTTGGGATCTTGTTGGTTTCCAGCCTCCTTGGGCCCAGCGCGAGAGGTCGGTCGCCGGAGGCGGGCGCGGCCGCCCGCGCCCCCGAGCGCCCTCTCCCCGATGCGCGGCGGGGGGCCGCGCGTCGGCGCGATGGCGCGTCGGCGCGCCGCGGGCGGGCCTCCGCCCCGTGCGACCCCTTTTTGATATCATCATTACTATTACTATTATTATTATTATTATTATTATTATTATTATGATTATTATTATTATTATTATTAATAATATTATTATTACTATTATTATTATTAATAAAAGCAAGACGCCTGTTTATACATATAATTTGCACATATATATATATATATATATACATATGTATATACATATATATATATATATATATATGAATTCCCTGATTCCGAGGCGGGAATTTATGCATGACCACCGCCTGGAGGATCAATGTTTGGAGACCTCGGCGGGCGGTGGCCATGGACATATTCTGGCCCCCGGGGGCCCAAACGTATCCACATCCGCCACCCGCTGGGGCACCAGGCCGTCGATTCCCAGGCGGTGGATATGGATGAATCCCCGCCTCGCACTGCTGCATTCTTGTGCATCTCCATCGTCGATTGCCACGTCGATTGTGTTCCTTTTTGCAGGAGGGGGGGGAGGGACACGGAGAAATCCCAAATCTATTGACCCGAATAACGCGAAGGAGAGGTGGCCTCACCGAGGTTCCGTCTTCGTATCAGGTAATAGAGATAATAATTCATGGCGGCTTGGTCTTCTAATGTTCTTGGCTTTCCTAATGTTGGTCTCCCGCCCCAAGGTTTAGGGGTCCTGTTGTTGTGAATCATCGGCGGGGGTGAAGTGAGGAGGGGCGGGCATGTCCCTCTACAGGAGGAGTACTCAAGAATATGAAAAATAGCCTAGCGACGACATCATTTCGCGCTCTTGGGATTCTTTCTTGATTGCCGTCTGAGAAGTTCATCTGTCCTTCCAAACTCCGCCTGTAGGAGGACATGCCCGATCTGAGGGAAGTGAGGAGGGGCGGGCCTGCTCAGAAGGCTCGGACCCCCCCAAGCCCTCCTCCTGAGAAGTCCTCCAGGCGTTCCCCGAGGGCGCAGAAACTGCTCATGGAGGGCGCGGCGCGAGGGCTTCCGAGAAGCCCCCCGCCGCCTTCCGAGAGGGCCCTCGCCTCTCTCTCGCGCTCCCCCCCCCCGCGCTCGCCGCCGATCCTCGGCCCTCCCCCCCTCCCGGGCCTGCCCCTGGTCGCGCTGCTCTCCTCTCCCCCCCCCCCCTTCTCCCAGGGCTGGACCTGAACGGTGTTTTTGGTGACTTCGTTGGCCGTTTTCGTTGCGATGTCGTTTTGCGGTGAAGTCGGATTGAAGACGAAACGAGGGACAACGAAACCACAACGGAAACGAAAAACGCCGTTGAGGTCCAGCCCTGCCCTCTCCCGCCGAGAGCGGGAGGGGGGGAGGCCCTCGCCTTCCCCCCTCCCCCGTCGAGAGCGGGGGCGGCCCCTGCAGGAACAAGGTGACGGCCGTGGGCTGCATCCAGTGGCTGTTCCTCCCGTCCCTGGTCTCGATGCTGACGCCGATGATCGGCATCATGTGGCAGTCGCCGCCGCGGCGGAGGCTGCCGCCCACGCGGCCCACGCTTCGGCGGGGACGAGGGTGAGAGGAGGGACGATGCGGAGGAGGCGGAGGAGGAGGCGGAGGAGGAGGAGGAGGAGGAGGAGGAGGAGGAGGAGAATAAGGATTCGGGGGGGGCATGGATGAGGAGGATGGCGGGGGAGAGTGATGACCATGATGGGGAGGAGTTTCACGAAGATGACACGTGCTGGAACATAGGTTTGGTCTAAACATATTCCGATTCATAAGTTCTTATACGACCAGGGACCCCAGAAAAAGCTCCCCCCCCTAACGAAGTTGGCCCACCCCCGTCCTCTCGGGCAACCTTCCAGACGATCCCGAGAAGCCCACGAGAGCCCGAAGACGGTCCCAGAGGGCTCCAGGCGTTCCGGCGTGCTCCCGAAACGACCCCAAAGAGCCCCAAGACAGTCCAAGACGACTCCAAATGATTTTTGGGTTCTCATTTTTTCAGCTTCCCGACGCTCCAAGACGACGGTCTTCTGGGCGTCCGAAGCCGCCTGGGGGGCTCGAAAATTGCCCCCCACAATCATCCGAAAGGGTTTCCAGGCAGTCCAAGAGAGCCCCAAGACGGCACAACAGGGTTCCAAGATGGCATAAGAGAGCCCCATGACGGCCCAAGACGGCCCCTAAGACACCCTCCGAAGCACTCCAAATCGTGACCCCCGGTCGTTCAGGGAGACCGCGGTCGAAGGCAGGGTGGCCCGAGGAAGCCCCCAGAGGCCCGCAGAAGACGCCCAGGAGGCTCTTCCAGAAGGCCTCAGGCAAGCTCGACAAACCTTCCGCGAGGGCCCCCGGGAGGCTCTCCAAGGAGCGGCCGGTCTGGCAGGAGCTCCGTGGGGCGGAGGGGCTCCCGGCAGCCCGAGGGTCCACGGCGAGCCGTGGGCTCGGCGGCGCAGAGGCCAGCGGCAGCGAGCCCCAGCGCGGAGCAGGTCCGGAGCAGCAGGGCCCTTCCAGGGCGCGGAGCCCCGCGCCCTGCCGGAGGCTGCGGCCCCACGCAGCGAGCCTCGGCTGGCTGCCGCAGCCCGGGGCCCCGCAGCCCCGCATCCTGGGCCACCCCGCCGCGGGGCGGTGCAAGAAATGCAGAGCGCCTCGGCCAGGCGGTGTCTGTGGAGGACGGGGCGCGCGGCTCGGCGCAGAGGCGGGAGCGGCGCGGAGGTGGCCAACGATGAGGGGCGGCGGCTGCGCTGGCCGATCGCGGCAGTGACATGGAGCTCGGCCAGGTGCCCTGCGCGTCACGCGCGGGTGGGCCGCGGCACATTCTTCAACCAACGGAGGCTCAGCGTGGCGCCTCTCAACCAGGCTAATGCGCTGGGCGACACTGGTCGAGAGGGCACCGGCTGGCGACGGTGAGGCGTGGAATAACCGCTTACCCCACCATGCTCTACGAGTGCTTGGGACGGTGCCAGGCTGCCGCGGCGGCGGGGGTTGGCAGAGCTCTGCCAGGGCCCTCGGCGGCACCGAGAGCACCCACAGCAGAGGGCTGCGGGCGTCGGGCCCGTGGGGCCACGGCGACACCAAAAGGCCCGGCGGGGCCTCGACGCGGCGTGGGCTCCCGGAGGCCCGAGCCAGGCCGACAACGCGCGCAGAGGCCCCGGGCCTTCGCCCTCGCTCATGTCCCGCGCCCTGCCTCTCCTCTTCGTACTCCTCCTCCTCCTCCTCCTCCTCCTCCTCCTCCTCGTCCTCCTCCTTCTCCTCCTCCTCCTCCTCCTGTTCTACGCTGGCTTCCTCCCTCCTCCTCCTCCTCCTCCACGTACTCCTCTCCTCCTCCTCCTCCTCCTCCTCCTCCTCCTCCTCCTCCTCCTCCTCCTCCTCCTCCTCCTCCTCCTCCTCCTCCCCCCTCCCCTCTCCCTCCTCCTCCTCTCCTCTCCTCCTCCTCCTCCTCCTCCTCCTCCTCCTTCGCAGGCCGTGCGGGGGGCGGCTGGCCTGGCGCCCACCCCTCTGCCCGATGCTGCCCCCCCCCTTCGTGCCCCGCCCCCGCCGGCGGGGTGCCCTCGAGGGGCGGCGGCCCACCCAGCCTGGCCCGGTCCCTGTCGAGAAGCACACAGGAGGAGGAGGAGGAGGAGGAGGAGGAGGAGGAGGAGGAGGAAAGAGGAGGAGAAAGAGGAGGAGAGGAGGAGGAGGAGGAGGAGGAGGAGGAGGAGGAGGAGGAGGAGGAGGACGGGTGTAATCCTCTAGGCCTCCCAGATGGGGTCCCAGTAGGTGGGGTCGGAGGGTCGCGCCGCGTCGCCGATGCAATGGCGATGCGGCTCGATGTGAAGCCCGATTTTCTCTACGCCGACGTCGCCGATGCATCGCCGATGTCCCTGTTTCATCGCCAATGCGTCGCCGATGCATCGCCGGTGCATCGGCGATGCATTGGCGATGCGGCGCGATCCTCCGACCCCATCTACTCGGACCGCACTTGGGAGGCCTCTAAAGAAACACAGGGCGGCAGCGCGCAGGAGGAGGGGAGGAGGAGGAGGAGGAGGAGGAGGAGGAGGAGGAGGAGGAGGAGGAGGAGGTGGAGGGGGAGGAGGAGGAGGAACAGGAGGAGGAGAGGGAGGAGGACGAGTGTAAACCGAAGACTCGAGTAGGGCTGGGGGGTCAGGTTTGCAGAACACCCCCAGCGGACGGCAAGGGGCGCAACCAACCTCTTCGGTCAAGCTAAACCTGATGCACACAGCCAGCGTCAAGGCAAGACTTTGGACATAAACGAATGGTTGAATGTTTCACGTTCACCAGCGATGCATTTGACCACCTTGGCGTCCCTTTGTTGGTGGTCCTGCAGAGGAAGGCGCTCTCTGACCCTCGGTCCTCCTCAAGACGCATCAGCGCTCTTGCGATAGACCTTTCATCCAAGTTCCCTCTTCACAGCTCCCTGCAAGGATTCATCTCCATTGCAGGAAGTGCCCCATCTGAAGACAATCGTATGGGAATCCCCCGTCGTGCCAAATTTCTGTTCTGGGGGTTTCAACGCCGCGGATCAACACGACGGTTTGCGTCCTGACAGCCCTACACCGTACCACCCTGGGACTTCAAGACCACGACTCCACGTTACCGCTGCGTCCGCACAATCTCAAATCGCGCCAGAAGATCCTTCCTGGGACTTTGGCCACACGAATCCTCCAACATGTCGCAAACTCCTGGGGACGAATGTGCTCCGCGCTGTGGCGAGAGCAGCATGCTGAAAAAGACATGCCCTCCATCCGTGCAGCCAGTGCGAACGTCTGAGACGCGGCGCTGCGGAAAAGGTTGGGTCCGCCATCTCTGTAACCGCTGCAAAAACAGCTTTGAAGACGAGCGTTCGCGGCGCTGATGCGAGCGCCCCGTTTTCAGAACCACCAGCCCTCCTTCCATGTTATTGTTGGCGTTTTCTTCAGTTTCAAGATGGTACATTGCAAGGAAGTCTCAAGCGAAACGCCTGGCCCTACCTACGGACACGTCTGGTGGTGCGACAGGGGGGGTATTTATCCAGTGGCCCTCAGCCCTTTCCGCCACCGTACCCAGGTTGTAAGTCAGATGCCTCTTGGATGCCTGTTGGGATATCTTGGGGGGCCTCGCGGGAGCCTTCTTTGGAGGCGTCTTTGGGGTTTTTTGGGGGCTTCTCCAAGGCCTCTTGGGGATTCCTTCGGGCGAGATTCGGGCCCGATTTGGGATATGCTGTCGCTTCTTGGGGGGGCCTGCTGGCGGTCCTGGAGATCATCTTGGGGTGGATGGCTCCAAACGGCGATTCGTGCTCCCCCTCTTGGAGCTTCTTGGGTTGTCTTGGGGCCCTCGTGGGCCGCTTGCGGGCCCTCTTGGAGGTCTCTTGGGCCGTCCTGGGGTGAACTTGCAGGACTCGTGGCCGTCGTCTGGCGGCCATCTTGGGCCCCTAGTGCAGTGGAATCCCATGCCAAGAAACACCCTGCTTGCCTCCAGGGTGCCCTGGGTTTCTGAGGTTTCAATGGTTTTGGTATGGAAAGCGTGATGTTCCCACATCGAAAGTCAATTGAATTCCTGGGGTCTCAGGGGTGGATTTCTTGCGGAAGGTTTCTTGTTGTCGAGCTCCTGATGTAGCGATCTTCCCGAGGCTCTGGTCCGTCTTGGTCCGTCTTGGGGGCCTCTTGGGGACCTCCAGACCCCGACCACGTAACGCTACACAACGCGCGGAGATCACGCGACACGCTCCCGCAGAGATCTCCGAATTCGGGGTCCGGGCCCCTCCCCGATGAGGCGGAGCTGGAGGAGTTTGGCAGCAGCTGAGGAGGAGGAGGAATAATGAGAAGGATTAGGAGGAGGAATCATGAGAAGGATGAGGATGAGAAGGATTCTCAGCAGCTGTTTACATGGCGGGTCACGTGAGAGCCACCAGTGGCTTGGCGCAGCCCTTGAAGCAGCACCAAGAGTAAGCACGCAATGGCCAGTGTGCCTGCTGAACTGGCGTGTGCGAATGGCTGCGACCGAATGCGGAGGCCCACTCCTCGCACCCTGTTTGCTCAAGATGGTTCGATCCCCGCCGAGAGGGAGGAAGGACGCACGCCGAGATCAAGCCCTTCGGATCCACAGCGGCAGTCGGATCGCGATCCCAGCACGACAAGCACCTGGTAGCACGAGGAGGTCAAGCGCACAAAAGGGGAGCGGGCGAGGAGGAGGAGGAGGAGGAGGAGGAGGAGGGGGCGTGCTTGTCACAAGAAGGCTTCTGCTGATGTCCGTCGGACCTGTCGCAGCGCGGCCCTCCCAGGGCGCGACCTCGGCCCCGCGAGGCGCCGGCAGGGGAACTAACGTGCGCTCTGCCGCAGGCGTGGCGCGCTCTCGCAGCCCCGGGCGGCGGGCCGCGCCTATGGGGCTCGAGGCGCGGCGCCCTGGCTGGCCCGCTGCCGCAGGGCAAGGCCGCGTCGGCCGGCGAGAAGAAGAAGAAGAAGAAGAAGAAAAAGAAGAAGCCTGCTTGAGCCTGGCATCGCTCGGGCGTGTGCATGTGTGTTTTTGCCGGCGAGAGCCATCGAGGACCATCCTGGACCATCGAG